TGCTTGGCCTGCTGTGTTCATCCAGCTCTGCACCTTGTTGTCTCGGATTCTCCAGCATCGGCAGTTGCTACTATCTCTGATTTAACGTTTAGAATGACATGGGCCAGACGCAGGCAAATGGGACTAGCTCAGTTTAGGTAACCTGGTCAGCACAGAAGTGTTGGGCCAAAGGGCCTGTTGAGTGCTGCATGACTATGACTCTGACTCCGACTCCATAATAGAAATGAAGTGGGATTAAGTTGATAGCTCTTTCGAGCCAGTGGGTATAATTTTCCAAACAGCCACTTATCATTGCAAAAGATGTTCTGATTCTACCTGCAGTTTCAACCACATGGGCCTCTTCAAGTGATTATTACTAACTTCACTTAGTTTATGAGTGCTAATTGTACACCACACTTGTAATAATATCCAATGACAGAAGTGGTCAGATAGCATCACAATTTCATACATCCTTGTTTAAAGCCAAATATCAATCACCTCTTCAGAAAATTTCCACCCGGCCCAAAATGCAATATGAGGTGTCACTCCCTGCTAAAAATTCACTCTATCCTTATCAAGCTTCATTATTCATCTAATCCCTATCAGCCAAGGGTCTTGTCTGTAATTTCATGGTTTTCTCCCTCTTGCTCAACTTACATAGGAGTGACACTGCAATTTTCCAATCCAAGTAATCGTCCCTGAATCAAGAGAAGTTTAGATGTTCACAGTTTGGGCACCTGCAATGTTCGCAACAAATTCCTCTAAAATCCTGAGGTGGAAATCACCTGGCGCTGGGGATATCACTCTGATTTTATTACATTAATTTGGTGATTCTCTGATTTAATATTAGGTTTTTTTTAGAATTACTGGGATGTCATCCCTCTCTTCCTTGACTATAAATAACAACGTCCATTAAGTATGCAACATGCTCCCCCCTTTCTTTGTTTTAATTTAAAAAGAGTCATAATGGCACAGAAGCAAGCCATTTAACTCACTGTATCAATGCCAGCTCTTTACTGAGCAACTATTTTTTTCTAATCAACCTGTTCAGAGATATTATTACACACCTCTGGAGGAGGTGGGACTTGAACCTTGGCCTCCTGGTACAAGGGTAGGGACACTACCACTGCACCACAAGAGAATGCCCCAGACAGAACATGGTCTCAAGAATTCAATCATCTCATCCTCCGAAATCGCTGGATTACAGGTGCACGCCACTAATGCAGTCAATCCCATTGTCCAATTTCCTTTTAAAATCATCCATCGTATATTTTCAGCTCGTCCACAATGCTCTTAACAGTCTTTTTTGTAACATAATTCTAACAATATTTGCAGTTTTAGTGGCATTTCATGCACATCATTTTTAACATTTCTCTTTTGTAGTTCTTACTGGCTGCTTTGTTACCTTCTGCTGTTCTTTACATTTATCTTAGTCAATCAAATCAGTTCTTTTTCTTTTGCATTTGTGCACTTAACCTTTTAGTTATAGTTTTTCTCTTTTGTCATCTATGGCTTTTTCTAAACAAGTATCATCATTTATATAAATGATTTGGATGTGAACATAGAAGATATATTTAATAAGTTTGCACATGACACCAAAATTGGAGATGCAATGGACAGCGAAGGGTTTAGAGGGATATGGGCTAAATGCTGGCAAATGGAACTAGATTTATCTAGGATATCTGGTCAGCATGGTCAAGTTGGGCCAAAGGGTCTGTTTCTGTGCTGTACGTCTCTATAACTCTAAGTCGGTCTCTCTTCCCTAGGCTATATAAATAACTTGTGATCATGTTGTTTTCAACACTGTCCAATGAGCTTCTATCATTTCATCCAATAACCAATTTGCCCAGCAGTCTCTCTTATAAAATATAGCTAATCAAAGTTGGCATTTTTTACCCGTACAGTATTTGCCAATGTCATGAAAGCCACCAGAGAAAAGCGGGTAGAATCACGGCATTGCTAACGAGCCTTAAAAATCTGAAGATCCCGATAAATAAACCAGATACTGACTTAACTGTAATGTTATTATCGATTAATATCATTGTACCATTCCAAGCATTAATACTCCTGCCAACCGTCTGAAATCCGGAGGTGAGACTGGGCTTATTGGAAGGATCGGCTGGATGGGTTAAATGATATTCATGCATGACTGATTCAAGAAAACGTTCAACATCGTCCAAGTAAACAGTAGGAAGAATTGGAGAAATCATGCAAGGGACGAAACAGAATAGGTGGTTGAAACCGTAGCAATAGAAACAAGTGCCTAAAATTACACGAACGACGGCTAATGCAACATTTTAACCAAATGAAAAGAAGTACTGATTGTTGCCTCTTCCCTGCCTTCTCAGCTGGATCGGTGTTTTACTCTTCATGGTGCGACACAACAATGATGATACAGATGGAATCAATCCAGAATTACGCATCTGACACTGTGAAAGTTACATTTTGTCGTAACTTAATTTCAAATTACTCAGGCACGAGCAACAAAAACAGCAAATTACTGCATCACCGGTTAGTGACCAAGACCGGTGTCAGAGAACCGTTGACGAGCGACCCTTGGTGTCGCACGCCTAGGTCCCCTCCCGTGCGCGTGTCCCAGGCTTGGACGCACTCGCGACAGCGCTGCTTGTGCACGCGCCGCCCCGTTTAAATTACATTGGTCACGTCCCAAAACATTTCCGTTGGATCTAAGCTGCCATCGCCCTGGCCAAGCAGGGCGCCTGAGTGCGTGCTCTCCCTTACCCGCCTGCGTGGTGTCTGTCAAGTCCTGGTTCGCCGCGCTCCTGGGGAACTCCTTCAGTTTCCTCCCGCTTAAGCTCAACACTCCCGTCGCAGCGGCTTCCTCCAACGCTCTCTCTAGGCTCCTGTTCCAAGGCGGTTGGGCCGATCCAGAACCGTTGTGACCACTTCCTCCTCCCCCTGCACCGCTGAATCCGTTCAATCCGACACCACCGCCTGCGATCCCGAGTTGACACTCCGACATCACCATCGTCGTCGCCGCCGCCATTACGACTCCTTGGTCAATACTGCGCAGGTGCCAACAGTCAGTCAAACCGCGCGTGCGCGCTGAACGGTAAATTTGACCGGTCCATTGGTGAGCTGTCGGCGAACTGCATCTTAACGAAGAGACGTATATAGTGATAGCAGGAACTGCCGATGCTGGAGAATCTGCGATGACAAGGTGTAGAGCTGGATGAACACAGTAGGCCTAGCAGCATCCTGCTTCTCTGAGACGTATATAGTGTCTTTTTAAAAATTGCAACTTCCATGATTCATGCAAAGTGATTCACTTTGGTTGAAAAAATCGAGGGCAGGTAAGATATCCATTTCAAGCCTACCGACTCCCACAGCTACCTAGAATACACCTCCTCCCACCCACCTTCCTGCAAAAATGCCATCCCCTATTCCCAATTCCTTTGCCTCCGCTGCATGTGCTCCCGGGATGAGGCATTCCATTCCCAGACATCCCAGATGTCCTCATTTTTCAAAGACCTCAACATCCCCCCCACCACAGTGGTCGAAAAAGCCCTCGACCGTGTCTCCCGCATTTCCCGCAATTCATCCCTCACACCCCTTCCCCGCGATAACAACCCAAACAGGATCCCCCTCGTCCTCACGTACCACCCCATCAACCTCCGAATCCAACGCATTATCTTCCGGCACTTCCGCCATCTGCAATCTGACCCCACTACCAAAGACATTTTTCCCTCCCCACCCTTATCTGCTTTCCGGAGGGACCACTCTCTCCGTGACTCCCTCGTCCGCTCCACACATCCCACCAGCCCCAGCACACCCGGCACTTTTCGCTGCAACTGCAGGAACTGCTACAGCCTGCCCCTACACGTCCCCCCTCACCCCCATCCCAGGCCCCAAGAAGACCTTCCACATCAAGCAGATGTTCACCTGCACATCTGCTAATGTGGTATACTGTATCCGCTGTTCCCGATGTGGCCTCTACATCGGGGAAACCAAGCGAAGGCTTAGACACCGCTTTGTGGAACACCTACGCTTGGTTCGCAACAAACAACTGCACCTCCCGGTCGCGAACCATTTCAACTCTCCCTCCCATTCCTCAGACGACATGTCCATCCTGGGCGTCCTGCAGTGCCACAACCATGCCACCCGAAGGTTTCAGGAACAGCATCTTATATTTTGTTTGGGAACCCTGCAGCCCAGTGGTATCAATGTGGACTTCACAAGCTTCTAAATCTCCCCTACCCCTACCGCATCTCAAAACCAGCCCAGCTTGTCCCCGCCTCCCTAACCTGTCCTTCCTCCCACCTATCCCCTCCTCCCACCTCAAGCTCCACCCCCATCTCCTACCTACCAGCCTCATCCCGCCCCCTTGATCTGTCCGTCCTCCCTGGACTGACCTATCCCCCCCTAACTCCCCACCTACACTCACCTTTACTGGCTCCACCCCCTCCTCTTTGACCTGTCTGTCTCCTCTCCACCTATCTTCTCCTTTATCCATCTTCCATCACCTCCCTTCTCTCCCTATTTATTTCAGAATCCCCTTCCCCTCCCCCATTTCTGAAGAAGGGTCTAGACCCGAAACGTCAGCTTTCCTGCTCGGCCTGCTGTGTTCATCCAGCTCTACACCTTGTTATCTCAGGTAAGATATAGTACAGTTCTAAAGGGGATGCAGGACCAGGGGGACCTAGGTGTATGTAAGCACAATCAGTGGAGGTGGCAGGACAGTTTGAGAAAGGGCTTAACAAGCTATATCGAACCTGGGCTTTATGGAAAGGTATGCGTAGAGTACGAAAGTAAGGAAGTTATGGTCAACCTGTATAAAACATTAATTTGCCTTCAACTGGAAAATTGTCCATTTCTGGGCATTACAAAAGGAAATGATTCATTCGAAAGGTTCCAGGTTTGAGGAATTTCGCATATGTATGTTGTTGAAGATGGGACTGTCTATTTGAGAAGTGATTACTAAGAGATTTGAATTTGGTGTTCCAAATCTTGAAGAGTCTGGTCAGAGCAGATAGCAAGAAACAAAAGCAGAAATTGCTGGGAAAACACAGCAGCTCTGGTAGCTTCTGCGGAGAGAAAGCAGAATTAACATTTTGGGTCCAGTGAACCTCCTCCATCATTGGACCCAAAACCTTAAGGCAGCTTTCTCCCCACAGATGCTGCCTGACCTGCTGAATTTTTACAGCAATTTCTGTTTTTGTTTCTAATTCATAGCATCTGCAGTTCTTTGCTTTTTTTTTGTTTAGAGAGAATCAGAGGGCACCAATTTAAGGTGATTGATAAAAGAAGCAATGGGGACATGAGGATAAACCTTATTACATTCTGATTCAGATCTCGAATTCAATGAGCAGTATGGTGGAAGCCTAATTGTCTAAATCATCAAAAAATAGATAATTATATCAAAAGACAACACTTAAAGGCAAATAGGGAAAAGGTCGCACTCGTGCATGATGTGCTATACTATAACCATTCTATAACTTAAAAGTCTGACGTTTCATTTGTATTTTGCTATCAGGAACTCTGAAAAGGTTCACACACAGAGGAATTTTTGGCTGGTGGTGAGAAACTTGGCTGGTGGTGTTGAAGGCAGTGGGCTTGGACTATGAGTAGTTATGCAATATTAGTTTATGGATTGAATTAATCCAATCCAATTGCTCGTGTAGGATGTACTTCTCTCTACACCTCTACTAAATCTGAGTTCTTCTTCTACATTAATGGAAATACATAATTAAAAGTCATTCAATAGGACTGAATAATGTCCGTAGTACATATTTGAAAGAGTTCAGGAAGAAAGGGTACACTGAATCACACAGTAGCCATGAAAACAACCCCAAATGATACATCAGGAAGTACAGTTCAAGTACCAATTACTCTGAAACGAAAGCAGGAAAGCCAGCAGTGATAGAGAGTGATATTTTCTCACACAGGCGTCTTTCTTTTCTATAGTCGCATTCGTTACTCCTTGGGCCACAAAATAAATTAAAAATATTATATGCAAGTCCTGTCATGGCAATGTACATGCTTTTTCTATTTTAGACTTAGAACAAGATGCATTGATGAGGTTTCTTTAATAAACATAAATTTTAAATCAAAACCATTCTATAAAGATGCAGAATTGATTAACTTACATGCAATTTGGAATATGAAAATATAAATTCACCTCTCTAAATAACCCAAAACACATAGGAGAGCCCACACTCTTCATTAAAGAGGGACAGAAAGGATTTCTCATTCTGCAGAGATTCACTATTAAAAAAAAAACATTTTCTAACCAATCCTGGATATTCTTGAAGGCAAACAAAAGATAAGGTGTAGAATGTTTTGGACTTTGTCAGTCTGATGTTCTTGCATGTGTTGTCAAATCACGAATGGTTGTGTCTGGCTTCTAGTCAGTCATAGTTTACCCTCGAAACAGAGTATTGAGAAGTGATTTCAGTAATTTTGCCGGGAGAACAATTGTGTTTCACACTGAATTTACCACAAATGTGCTTCAGAAACCGAAGATATAAACTGAGCAGCTTGTACTGTAGCAGAGATAGTAGGAACTGCCGATTGCTGGAGAATCTGAGATAACAAGGTGTAGAGCTGGATGAACACAGCAGGCCAAGCAGCATCAAAGGAGCAGGAAAGCTGACGTTTCAGGTCTGGACCCTTCTTCAGAAATGGGGGAGGGGAAGGGGATTCTGAAATAAATAGAGAGAGAGGGGGAGGTGGATGGAAGATGGATAAAGGAGCAGATAGGTGGAGAGGAGACGGACAGGTCGAGGAGGCAGGGATGAGACAGGTAGGTAGGAGGTGGGGGTGGGGGTTGAGGTGGGAGGAGTGGATAGGTGGGAGAAAGGACAGACAGGTTAGGAAGGCAGGGACTAGCTGGTCTGGTTTTGGGATGCAATTAGGGGCAGGGAGATTTTGAAGCTTGTGAAGTCCACATTGATACCATTGGGCTGCAGGGTTCCCAAGCGAAATATGAGGTGCTGTTCCTGCAACCTTCAGGTGGCATCGTTGTGGCACTGGAGGAGGCCCAGGATGGACATGTTGTCCAAGGAGTGGGAGGGGGAGTTGAAGTACTGTAGCAGACTACCTTCAACTAAAAAAATCCAAAACACAACTTCTAGACTTGCAAACATTGTCCAAACGGAATAGCTACAAAATTCAGTCCAGAAACAATCAGATGTTTTCCCTTAAGTGAGTTCAAATAGCCAAGCCCAGCAATTATGTAGAATCACTTTTCGGGGTTTCCAAGAAATGCCTTGTGTTAAAAAGTTTCAATGGGTCTTTTCATTGACCTTACAAAAAACAAATTCAGGTATCTCAAAGATCCTTCAAAATCAAATGCATAATAATCATGAAATAATAACCATTTTCATAACACAGGCAGAGAGACTCTCCTATATTTTGTAGACTAAGAGGACAATGTAGGAAAACATGAGAATATCCACTATGGTTTGAAGAATAGAAAAGTAGAATATTGGGGTTATAGACTTGCTCGCCAAGCTGTTTGATTGCAGATGTTTCAACACCCTGCTAAGTAATATCGTCAGTGCACCTCTGGTGAAGTGTTGGTGTTCTGTCCCGCTTGTTATTTAAATGCCTCAGTTAAATAACAAGTGGGACAGAACACCAATGCTTCACCGGAGGCGCACTGATGATGTTACCTAGCAGGGTGATGAAACGTCTGCAATCAAACACACCGGCTCGGTGAGCAAGTCTACAATCTCATCCACAACCTGAGCTACAAATCTTCTCAAATACTTTAAAGTAGAATATTATTTAAGTGGAGAGAGATACAGAACTTTATGGTTGAGGATTTGGGTATTTTTGTACATGCAATACAAAAAAAAGTATGTAGACACAAATGAATTGGCAAGACCGATGAAACTTTTTTTTTGTCAGTTATCCCTTGAATGAAGGATGACATCGACTCAGGAAAGCAAGTTTCTGCCTTGGGTCTTCATGTGACTGAAGAGGCTGGTTCTTGACCTACAGACCTTTGGATACATGGGACAGGATATCCCACATGGTAGAGGAATCTGGAGTACGAGATTTACT